CCCATAATTGTTAATCTAAGTATGTCTCTTACCGGAGAAGTTTCCAGGCTTCCTACCCCATGGTGTTACATCTTGACTTTCCTGTTTCTCCTTCCCAGAGTCCTTCTGGACTCCTAGTCCCACCTATCTTGGTTCGCTATTGGCCAACAGTGCTTTATTGACAAATACACAGGACTTCCCCAACAACAACTAGAAAACAAAACATTACTATAATAAAGGTTATGCTAGGTGAACGTGTCTCTTTCCAATCATCTTGTACTTTCAACTCAAGAAAGCACTGAATTTATTTGTGGCACATCTTCATTTTCAGAATCATAAATCTTAGAATGTTGGGACCATTAAATACAATGAGGATTTCTTTTTGTATGATGATGATGATGATGATGATGATGATGATGAACCAGGTCTTACTGTGTAGCACAGCATGGCTAACTGGAACTCATGACTGTCGTCCTGTCTCAACATCCCAAGTCCTGGGATAACAAGCATAAGACACCCAGCAAATAATGGTTTCTTGACACCAAAGCATAACTGTGCTTTGAGCTGGCTGTTCTGAGTACCTTGATGACATATTATACCATCTGGATTTACTCCAATTATCCAACCCAACAGATGACTTGGATATCATGTCCAAGATGGCTACCAAGTGATCAATGGTAGGCAGCAGACAAGAGCATGGATGAACAGTCATCTGTTGGGTTGGATAATTGGAGTAAATCCAGACAGCATAATATATCATCAAGGTACTCAGAAAAAAAATGTGAATTAACATTTACAAACTGTCTCTTTCTGGAATGTTCTATGTAATATTTTGGGCTCATTACTGACCACAAGAAACTTTAACTACTAACAATGAATATAGATAGCCACAGTAGAAAGGAAAATCATGTTTGGTTACTGCTCTCACCTCTAAAAGCTTTCAACTCTTCAACCAGTGCCTCAATAGTACTCTTCTCTTAAGACACACCAACCAACATAACATTGCCAACCAAGGAAACTAATAAGTGATAATTTTCATATGTCACAATACATATTAAGCCAGTTAACTTTCATCTATGTGAAAACCTTTATAACAGACATAAACAGCTGATAGGATTCAGACAACAAACATATTTATGTATACATACTACATGATACCTATGAATATTCAGATGGAAAATTATTGAGATGAATTCAAAATACTGTAATTTGAGCAGAGATTTGAGAACTGGACAGCTCCTACAATCAGAGCAGGTTCTGAAAGCATTCTCTACCCAGATGACTGCATACCACTTATAGTATGTAACAACTCCAGTGGCCAGTCAGCAGGCAGCTAGTTAAAGCCTAACTAGTTGTTTACAGTTTAAACCATTAGTTAACTACAAGGCTCAATTACTTTGATTACATTCTGTATTAGATGGACTGGTCTATTGGAGAACCCAGTTCAAATCAATTGCTTTTTGCAATTTTGTTTTAAAAGCTGTGTGTGTGTGTGTATGTGTGTGTGTGTGTGTGTGTGTGTAAAACATGTAAATAACATGCAAACTTTAATCTAGCTTCATAGTACATATAAACAGGCAGCTTTACTAGAGTTCACTGGCAGCCTCCACTTTGTAGGGCTCATCTACAAACAAACAAACTCATGGGAAAAATAAACAGTTAATCTCAAAATAACATCAAAGCTGTTGAAACTCAGTGGCTTTGAAATCTACACTCAGCCGCATTTTTCAAAGTCAAAAAGCCAAGCGTACATAGACATGGAACAAATGGCCAGTGGAGTGGATACTTATACACAATACTAAGAAGGAGAACTCAGAAGATGATGAGGGACTGAGGAGGTGAGCAAGAAGCCAAGGGGAAATACTGGGTGTGGTCCATAGAGCAAAGACCCCTTGAGGGCTAGAGGTTTTTCATTTCAGCTGGCAGCCTCAAGGCAGCCGCAACTTCTATGCAGATGGTCCCGTCTCTCCTTGAAGTTTCACCGTGCTATGCTAAATTTATGAAAACACTGGAGGAAAAAAAAAAAACTTCAGCTATCACAATTTTGATTTAGATATGGAATGTTTCAAAGAAAACATAGGAGCGAAGAGGCCACAGAACAATATGCTTTCCTGAAATAATGTTATTCCCCGAGTGTGCCAATATATAATAAAAACAAGGTGAGTTGGGAAGAGGGAGATCAATTTTACTGTAAGGACTGAACTGCAAGTCAGTCTTACGTTACAATAAAATTAACACCTGTGTCTAGGTGCTTCATGAAGAGGTGTGTTTAGCTCCAGCTGTAGAGGCTGAATGAAGCCTGAGGGCAGGCAGCCCTATCTGCTCATCAGGTGAGGGCTTGCTAGCTGTATCACACAGTACAGACGTCACAACAGAAGACCCTAAGACACGCAGCAAGAGGCAAGGGGAGAAAGCCAGGCTTATTCTCTACTACAGACAGCCAACCACTCCCATTCATCTTCCCTAATGACCTCATCACTTCTTAAAGGCACCTCCGTTATACAGTGGGCCTCGTTTCCAACCTAGGAACCTCTGTGGTGGGGGAAAAAGCATCTAAACTATAGCTCTCAGTTAATAATTCAACACCACTAGTTTGTTAAAATGTAGATTTTTTTTAATCTTACCACGGTCAGGAGACTATTCAAAACAGTGAACAAAATGAACAGTCCCCTCAAACCTCAGCTTTTGCTAATTGGCTCAGGAACTTGAGCAGAGGCTTTCCTCCGGTCCGCTCTGTAAAATACGCAGCTGCGTTGATTTGTCTTTCAAATAACCTGTTGCAACAGCATACACCTTGGAAAATTACAGACAACAGAGGACCTCTTTTGAACAACAATACCCATGGATAAGAACTAAAGTAGGCCTCCCTCACCAGCTATTAGGCTATTGAGTCATGATATAATTAGTTCTATAGTAAAGAACCTACCTTCAAACCAACAATTATATCATATTAAAATTACACCCTGCCACCTCCTAAACACTCTCATTTTTCCATAATTTAAACCTTTTTAAAGGTCTATATTTTTTCCAGAAAAAAGCAAAAGTTAATCCTGAATACCCAACAAATATAAGGAGCACTGGGAATTATGTGCCACCAGACTAGTGGGAGAAGGCTTGCCGCTAGAAATTCAGTTTTCAAAAGATACTGCTAGGTGTTATTGTAGTTCCTGTGTGGTGCACTTTAAGTTTGGAAGGCACAGGCAAGGTTCTGTAAAATATTTTCTTCTGTGAGGTATGCTGGTGTATACCTGTTAACTCAGTACTTGGGAGGCAGAGGCCAGAGGTCACCCTCAACTAAAATGAAGCTCCAGACCAGCTTGGGCTAAAGGAGTTTCTGACTCAAATAAATTAATTAAAAATTTTAGGAATAGCAAAATGTTTCACTGGGAAATTATATGCATACTCTTAAAGAACTCATTAGCTTAGCCTTCAAGTTCCCAAGTGTATATAACCTGGGCTATTCTATCTAGGCTTGTAACAAGAAAGCTTTTTTAATTTCTTCATCACAGAGCTATATCTGAACTCACCCCCATTTTATTTAAAACAATATCGTGACGCCTGAGCATCTGTAAGTCTTTTTTGTGTGTAAATGGGTATGTTTACAGAATAATCTACTACCAAAGGCACCAATGCAATTCCCTGTTATTTTGTGAGAGTCTAATTCAGTCTTGTGAAAACTGATCCATCATTAACTTAGATAAATCTGTAGCTCTATTTCCAGGCCTTATTTTATGCTCATCCTACCAACCCACTGAAAGAATATGTGGAAGGACATACCTTACCAAGCCAATAAATAAATAAATGGGGGGGAGATGTATAGCAAAAGGGTTATTTGCATGGAGAAGATCGAAATGAAGAGAGAAAAAGAACGAATTCATACACTGCATGTTTCCTCTACGTAAGCAATACACTAAATATGTTAGATTAGTCATGTTGCCTTGAGATTCTTCCATGTTTCCTCTAGGCAACAGCCAATGCTCGAATGGCCTCTGATGAATAAACATGCTGTGACTTGCTCCTAAGGAAACGCCTGTCATGTTCCAGGGAAAAATGACTTCTTCCCTCTTAAACCAGAAAAAAAAAAAAACTGAGCAACTCTCATCCATTGCCTACAGTCGACTGTTCCTTAACGTTCCTGTTTCTGGGATGTTCACACTGTTTAGGGCATTTCTACGTTCTGATTAACAAAGAAAAATGAGATTAGGGGTGCCTTATGGGGACGAAGGTGTATGACAGGACATCTTCAACTAGGACAGGGTTGTGTAGCTTGACCGTTTACCACGACAAAGGTTACTCTCAAGTTCTCCTCAAGCTCTTGCAGGACTACCTGTTCTCACTACTGTTTACCCAAACGTTTAACAGTGATTTTTAGCATATTTGGCAGGAAGGCATGCTTCATTTAATATTAACTCACCATGTGACATCCCCTTCCCTTCCAATCGCTCCTCAGACACGTGACGACAAAAAAAAAGTATAGCTGTTTGCCAATGCGACTTTGCGCTGGGTTTTGGCATCACCAATTGGCCAGAAGCATACACACACCCCCAGTGAGAGGCAAGCACCCCGCCTGCTCCCGGAACTGTCAAGCCGGGCTGACAGCTGGCACACCTTGCAGCGCCCTCCGTGGGCTTTCAGAAAGCCCCTTCCTTGCAGTCACCTTGACAGGACTGGTACGCCTGGGCCTGAGCGCTTGGCCAGTGAAACTTTTCCTTCCTTTCCCGGAGCGCACTTACAGGTGTCGTCCCCCGCTCCAGAGCTTCAACAAGGAGCCCTTTGTTACCACTTTTGCTCCGGGACTCCTCACCCAACGCCTGGCATCCGCCTGGCCTTTAGCAACCCGGATCGGAAAGCCTGCCCAAACCACCGAACCCCCCCACCCCGGTGACACCCGGGAGGACGCAAGTCTCCCGCCGCGTGTGGCTCGGTCCGGAAAGCCAGGCGACCCGCGGGGAGCGCGCCGCAGGGCTAATGAAGCGCACGTAGGAGGCCTCAGCGGCCCGGGGGGTGGTTCCCCTACTTACCCTAAGGAGCCCGAGGGCTGCGGGACGGAGGTGCGGGGCGCGCTGCGGGGTCCGGGATCCGGAGCGCTGCGGTCCATTGCGCTGCTGGTCGCTGCGCGGGCTCGGGCTTGGAGGCGGCGCGTCACTGCTGGGGTGGGAGAGGCCGGAGGGTCAGGGCGGGAACGAGCCGGCCGAGAGCCCGCCTCGACCCACAGCAGCCCGGGGGCGGACCCGCCTCCCCGGGGCGCTGCCACCTGCGGGCCGGTCCCCGCCCGGGGGCGTCCGCCGCGACGAAGGCCACAGGTCCCCGCCCCGGCTGCAACCCGCAGCCAGTTGGCGGCGAAGGGGCGGCGCGCGGCGGCTCGGACTGCGAAGGAGGAGGAGCGGGCTGGGCGCGGGACGGTCGCCACGCCCGCAGAACTTGGACTCTGGCGGCAGGCTGCGCACGAACTGAATCCCGTGCAAACTTTCCCCCGAGGAGCTGCGGACCACAGCGCCCCCACTCCAGGGGACCCGGCCCGTCCAGTCGGCGCGCAGCTGGCCCCGAGCACCCCCTCCTCCTCCGCACGGCTAGCTCGGGCGCCCTGAGCGAGCACACGGCGGAAGGTGGCAGTCCCCCAGCCGCCGTGACCGCGTCCCCACTCACCCTGCCCCATGGCTCTGTCCGGAGCCCGGAGCTCGCCGCCGCCTCGGCCGCCTCGCCCTGCAGAAGTGAGGGTGACGAGGTCGGCATCGGAGCGAGCAGAGCAGCCAGCCGGAGAGGGGACGGGCAGGGCGGGCGGGCGGGGACCCAGAGCGAGAAGAAATTTCCACCCCCTCTTCCTCCCTCCCCCCCCCCCCGCCCCGAGACACGCGGTTTAGGGTACCGCCAGCGAGGCTGGAGGAAAGGAAACTCCTAGGCGGCGTGTTCTAGTCCCCACCGCCAGCGCGTCGTTGTGGGAAGCCCTGTGAACTCTTGAGGGACAATTGAGGACAGGGAGGGTACCTGGCTTGCAAAACCGGAGGGAGGACCGGGCAGTCACGGAAGTGCAGAGAGCTGGCGGACTGAGTCCTACCTGCAGGCTGACCTTCTTTCTAAGTGCAGGATTTTTCTGTCTCTCCCCCCTCTCTCTCTCTCTCTCTTTTTTTTAACCTTACTGACCCCTGCGGTTGCTAGCCTGTAAATGGCACCTCTGACACTATGATCTTTCTCTTCGGTGGCAAGTTTAAGCTTGTCCTGTCTTCCCAGGCATGCTTCTCTTGATGTGAACATCCCAACAGCTGTGATTTGAGGACTGGACGTTCTCGTGATGACAATCTGCAAGCTAAGAAAGAACTGAACATAGATTTAGTGGCATCTCGGAAGTTTCACAGGAATAAAGGAATCCCAGACAGTGCTTGCTTGTTTGTAGTTTCGGTTCCTGCAAGCCTGCGGGAACCTTCAGAGGCATCTGCCCACCTGGCAAACGGGTGCTTTTGCGTAGCCTCTCTTCATTCTTAGAAGCTTGCCAGTTATTTAAAGTAAATCACATTGACGAATTCAAGCGCTTACGTCAGAAAATGTTAAATTAAAAAACTGGATACGTCCAGTGACAAAAGCAAGCTGTGAGATAACAAAGGATTCAAACTACTGGTACACATTAAAATTAAATTGGTGTTTATAACCAGTGTATAATTAAGGGTTCTTCAGTTGCTCATTCATTGCAACCACCACCAACGAATTCTGTAATTAAAAGAATCAACTATTCCCCAGTATGTAGCATTTTGCCTCCTATGGGCAGTCTTTAGTCTCCCTGGCTGTGTAAAACAAAGGCTCAGTACATTCTTGAATATGAATGGAGGCTAGGATCGGGTGGCTTCTGCTGAGTACTCAATTAGAACCCTATCATTAAAAGTTGCTTTTAAATATTTTGACTAATACTGAGGCAATTGATTGAACTGGATCTGGGTTTTAGACTTTAAATAATAACACAGGTTCGACGAGTTCCTGAAGCCTTTCTCAGTCCTGCCTCTAAATGAATAAAAGATTTACAACAGTTGCATAGACAGGCTGTAAGTAGTGACTAACACTGAAACCACTTAGAAGTTTATCATGTTGAGTCACAGGATCAATCACTTCATTAGTTTCAACCTGAAGTTAGGACGCACTACTAATATTATTGAATCCCAGTTAGGCAGATCTTAAACATAAGATTTTTCACAACATTTCGTAACTGCTGAGAGCAATGCTCATGACACCAGTTTTCCCTGCCATCCTTTTGTTCTTGGGCACAGGGCAAGGTCATACTTTCCATGCACTGACACTGAGCCTATCCAAATGGCTTTACTTGCACAAGTGAAATGTGTTATTTCCTTGCAGGGTCACGTCAAGGGGAATGCTGACTCTCCACAGCCTTCTGTGCTGTAGTAATCATGCAGAGGTGACACAAAACTGAACGATCCTAAAATGTTAAGTCATTTTTCTAAGCACAGCTTGGAGAAGCCCAGAATGGACACCAGAATCCCCCAAAGCACTCCTGTATTTGGGGATTAAGCCACTAAAATATGCTCAGCAGCTCTCAGAAGCAAGACTATACCTCGTGTTCTGGTTTACTACTATCCATGTTATAATCCTGTAATTGCATAACTTACCAGCAAAATAATAACCATAGTTGCTAGAAACCTTTTTCCATAATGCTGGAAAATGGCTCCCTTCCCAGTCCCTCTGAAGGGCTGTTCAAGTCTGTCCAGATGTTGCTCAATTTTCCTGACTGGAAATCTCACCCCCTGTTCCATACAATCATGTTTAATGCATGTTCTCAGGTCCCAGCACTTGAGAAAGGCTTTGCAGACTGCCCAGGTAGAAATAGCCTGCTCTTCTTAGTCCCAGGAGATTGGTAGGTGAGCCGAGGCTGGCATGCCCATTTCAGTTAGCTTTTCATCGTTGTGCCCAACATACCCGATGAAAGCAGGAAGAAAAAAATGTATCTCAGCACACAGTTTAGGGATTTAGAGGTGTGCATTCATCATGTCAGGGAAGGTGTTATGGGAAGCAGCAGCTCATGCCACGGTGGCCAGGAAAGGGAGAAAAGGCATGTGCCAGCACAGGGCTGGCTTTCTCCTTTCTTCAACTTTTATATGAGCCCTTAGCCCAAGAGAGAAGATGCGGCTCACATTCCCAGCTCAATTAATCCTTTCTAGAACTGTCCTTGTGGACAGGTCCACAGGTGTGCTTTACTAGCCTAAGTGACCTAAGTTCAGGAAGGTGGACTGACGACAGACTGTCACACAGACATAGAGGAATCTGACAACCCTCGCTGCTGTCTTCTGAGGGTATAGGTCAGACCACACAAGGTGGTCTGCCCAGATTTGTGGAATAGGAAAAAGAAAGAAATCTTAGTGATTTCATGGAAGACATTTGTTGCGTAACAAAACCTTTCCACGGGAGATGCAACACGGCTAGTCACCCCAGTTACAGAACCCACAGCAAACCAAAGTACGGATACCACCAAAGTTCAATTTGGTTGTACTGGCTGATTTTGTGTGTCAACTTGACACAAGCTAGCATCATCAGAGGAAGGATTCTCAGCTGAAGAAATGCCTCCAAGAGGTCCAGCTGTAAATGGGGAGGAGTTCAACCCATGGTGGGTGTTGCCATCCCTGAGATGTTGGTTCTGGGTGGTTGAACAAGTCAGGAGAAGCAGGCCAGTAAGCCACTCTGTGGTCTCTATATCAGTTTCTGCCTCCAGAATTCTGCCCTGTTTAAATTCCTGTCCTGACTTCCTTCAGTAATGAACAACAAACTGGTACCAGTGTATTGAGGTGTTGCTGCAACAGACCTGACTATGTTTTGGGAAGGATTATGGAAGGACTTTGGAACTTTGGGCTAGAAAAGCCATTGAGTGTTGAGTCCTAGGTGGGATGTTCTGGGGGAACTTGGAGGATAAGAATATTAAGAACAGTACAGGAGATAGAGGCCTGACTTGCAAACTTTCAGAGGGAAGTTTAAAGACTCTGTCAGGGCCATTGGTTGTTTTGAATTACAACCCTGTGGTTCTGGTTAGCTGGGGCTGAAGAACCAGCTGTGATTAACAAGATATCAGAACTACCGAAGTGAAACCTTTACTGGGACAATTGAAGCTGGTTAGCTGGATCTAAGAATTAGTGGTGATTAAGAAGAGACCGGCATCTCCGGTGAAATCTTCTGGGAAGTATTTGCTGAGAGCTCAGAGGCGACCAAGGTTGTACCAGCTGGACATGGTAATGTGTTAGCGTCACCCAGGTGGAACTGGTTTTGAAAGCATGAAGGGGTCACGGAGAGCAGCTGAGGCTGGGGACTGTCAGAGGCCAGGAAAGGCCATGGGTGAAGGTGCAGGCTCAGTGGCAGCTGAAGGCCCAGGACTGACAGTGTTATGCAAAATAGTTGAAGCTTGGCACCATGAAGAAAGCCTACTAGAGGCTACTGGTGAAAGTGCTGCCCTGTTACAGCAAGGAACCCCTGCATTTTGGAGATGCCAATGCCATGGGATGACCACTAAGAACAGCAGTAGCAGTGGAGTAGAGCCAGCTGAAGCCTAGAATATGTGTGCTACAGAGGGCAGAGCTGGAGAAGTTACCCAGGCCCTTTGAAGGAGTCCAGAAGATCATGAGTGAATCCCAGATAATGTGACATTGAGTTCTGCATACTGTAGGAGTTTGGTTTTGCTTGGTTGAGATCGTGAGAGTGCCCTGGTTCTTCCCTCTTGAAGAAGATACTTAATTTTGATTTTTAAAGGAGTCCACAGCTGGAAGACTTGAACTTTTAAAAAAGAGATTGAATATTTTAAGAGACCGACATTTTAATGTGCTTGAATTGGTAATTACTGAGGGACTTTTAAAATAATTTAACTTTAATATGAGATCTTGGGGATAAATAAGGAGGGGATGTGGTTAATAGTGAGGTGCTAGGGTGTCTAGTTGAGAAGTGGACAATTGAGCTGGCTGGTTTTGTGTCAACTTGACATAAGCTAGAGTCATTGTGGGAAGGAGCCTCAGTTGAGGAAATATTGGATCTATGAGATCCAGCTGTAAGGCATTTTCTCATTTAGTGATCAGTGGGGAAGTACCCACCCATGGTTGGTGGTGCCATCTAAGGACTGTTGGTCCTGGATTCTATAAGAAGGTGGATCTAGCAAGCCAGGGGAAGCAAGCCGGTAAGCAGCTCCCCTCCATGGCCTCTGCATCAGTTTCTGCCTTCCAGGATACTGGCCTTCAGTGATGAATAGCAATGCTGAAGTATAAGTGAAATAAACCCTTTCCTCCCCAACTTGCCTTTTGGTCATGGTGTTTCATTGCAGCAATTGAAACCCTACGACATTCGTGAACCAATTATTTTTATTGGGGTTATTTACAGGAGCAGAAATGACTCAAAGACAGCCACATCACCAAAGCCCACCCCAGCACTGGTGACGGCTCATAAACCTAGGAACCTGGAGCACACTGCACAGCCTGCAGGCAGCTCAACAAGTTGGAGAGTGCCCATTTGAGGTGCCTCCATTGGTCTAAACCTCTTCCAGGTAGCCTGGATGCTTTCTGCTTCTACTAGGCAGCTGATCTGTTTTTAGAGACTTTGCACCTTTTCTCCTCCAAAAGTCTTCTTGGAATCTCAGGTTACCTGAGTTTTTTGGTCAGCTTGTCATCACTTGATCTGAGAAGGACTCTCCTTTTATTGCTTCTGCTGACAGGGAAAGGCCTAGTGAGTCTGGTCAGTTTCAGGGACTTCCTTAAGCTGTCTTGAGTTGTTTACT